GAACATTTATCTTTTTTTATTTAACCCTTTATGATCTAATATTGGCTTAGATCAAAACGAAATTTAGCAATTTTGATAAATGGTTAACGGGAAATCCCTTGTGTTCAGATTGGCGCCAACTAAATCAGTGTTGCCAATACACGGGTAGAAAAAGCAGGATCAACACTGGGCCCGTCCTAAACTCACGGGATTTCCAGCTATCCATTTTACAAAATTTGCTAAAGTTGGCATTGCTCTGGCATTACTCTAAACTGGGTATTAAAAATTTTATGTTTGGCTGATAAACTACACATCAAAAAAACCGAACATCTGGTTTTTGCACAAACACAAAAAAAAAAAAATGGCCAATTTTGGAAATGCATATTTTCTCAGCCTTTTAAATCACAGACCTGCGCTAGGTGTCATTTTTTAAAAACTTTTATGCAGCACTAGATGGCTTGGTTAAATGTTTTTCTAGCTTCAGTCCCTTATCAGTAAACTCAATAATTCGGGAACGTTAATTTTTGCACTTTTTCAGAGTGAGCTGTTGAGCCAGGAAATCGTCCTGTAGCAATCGATAGGAAATTTCAATAAGCTTTCAATTGGTCACCTTCCACTTTGCCCGATTTCTCAGCCGTTTTCGAGTTATTCGCGATTTTTGGGCAAAACGTGGTTTCGTACGTGCACGTGTAAAAAACCGATCGCTCTCTCTCTCTCTCTCCCGATTTTACCATACATAAAATCTATTGTTTCAATACATTATTTGAAGTCAAACTGTCACAACACCTGTGAAATGGGATGGAAAAGTTGAATTTCCGCGATGAGGTAAAGAAGTGGTTATCGACTGCAAAAGCATTCCGCATCCCAGAAGGTCAAAGTAAGAAACGTAAGAATTCCCTGTTCACTTTTTTGAAAAAATCTTTGTTGTAGAGCGTAAAATTTTCGAAAACATGACGGTTCAAAATGTATGCATTCTTGAGAATTGTTACTAGAGTGTGATAATTAATCAATGAAAAAGTAGAATACATTTATTTTTTATATATTTATTTGACTATGACATAAGCCTTTTTAATTTTTTGTATTGTGTGAAATGACATTTATTATTAAACGTAAGTAACTGTTTACCATCTATTTACCATAAATTTTAAGCATGGCAAAAAGCGGTCTGCCGGAGTTTGGAATTATTTTTATTATATCAGAATTTAATTTATTTTACAGCGGTAGTATTAAAAATGATTTTAATTAACATAAAAAATGCGTAAGTCACAATAATAACCTAAAATAAAAATCTTATTTTTCCCACCCAGAAATATAAAGTTAATCTTAGAATAGGAAATAATATTCAAAACAAAAACTCATATGATCAGTAATTAACCTCCCTTATTAAGTAGTGTCTGTATTCCCAGGCCTTTCTCGCAAAAGCAATTAAATGTTTACAGAGCCGAGGGCTTGTTGAATCTCTAACGCCTGCTGGACCGGCGAGCTATTTCCCATGTAGAGCTGTCTAAATTCGCCTAGCACAGGGCATTCTCAAAGGAAATGATGACGATCGTCCCTTCAAATTGCACATAGCACGTCTTTCCCTGAGAGGATCCTTCCTCGACTGGGGCAAATAATTGCGAAATAGTAATTCCCCTCTCAGCTGAACAACCAACTGACAAATCAATTGACAATGATTATCCAGAAACATTGCAGCCAACAACACTGAACTCCATGCCTGTCTACAACTGGGTTCTGTACAGAAGAAAATGCTCAGACTGCATAGCGATGAAAGCTGAGTCTTCTACTGAGGCATATTGTCTATGGAAAGAATCAGCTCACAAGAGTAATTGCGAGCCAAGATACCGTAGGAATCAAACTAGAGAGCCCTACGCCTTAACACCTCCTTGGCTACAGCAGACCTAGAAGTGACAACACCTACAAAGAAAATTAAAAATGCAGGTGTAATGTATATACGAAAATTGGTTTAACAGAGGATTCAATATTAACAATATAATAGGAGTGTTTTTAGGTACAGAAAATATTTTTTTATGTGTGGTGCTTAGTGACCGTTAATCGATATTTATTTATAAATCATGAGATGCGGTCTGGTGTGATGTAGGTTTCAGAAAAACATTTTCTTTATCATGCCAACATTTCGATCTTTATTGAGATCATCTTCAGGGCCTGGGATTTACAAACATTGTTTCATATAATTCCTAATTCATATAATCACTAAAGCTCTCCGTCGCCATTTCAATTGTCGTCGAGAATCCAAACCGATTACACGACATTTGAAAAATGGCAAAAGGAGGGAAAACTCATAAGGTGGGGTTGAGATGGGGAGTTGATGTCCGAGTAGATCGAGGTCACGATAGCTCAGGTGGTAGAGCAGAAGCGTATCTAGCCGAAGGTCTTGGGTTCGAATCCCTCTCGTGCCATTAACTTTTTTTCATCTCAACTAAATCCTTAATTATTTGTTTCATATAACAATTACATTTTGGATGTGGAAAAGTGAATTTATACGATGCAAAATACATTTTTATATATTCAATCAATGTATTTCTACTCACTCAAAGTGTCTGCCTTCTGTGTAATTGTGTCATTCTTGTGTGTCGTGTCGAGAGTGCCAGTGAGATTTTGCTATTTTGTGTTTATATACGTTGGATTTTGAAGGGGTGGGGAAAGATGTCGGTATAGAAAGGACATTTTGTATAAGGCGTCGGCTTCTTTGAGGTGAAAGGAGCCGACGAAGGGAAAAAATGTGTTGGTAATGGTTCGGCCAGATTATCCTTTCAGGATTAATAGAATGGGATAAATAGGATAAGGAAAGCTGAATTGTTGGGAAATTAGACTAGTGACAAATATTTGATGTGTGGAATGTAATATGATGATATAGGTATGTTATCTGTATTGAATTTGATTAATGATATTGGCGTAGCTGCGACTGAGTTTACATGTATCTGTTCTGTAATTGATGCTGTGTTTATCTCGGTTGCTATAAACCATTTCTAAGAAATTACGTTTATATTTGTTTTATTCTGTATGTAATATTTTTGGATTTTTGAAGTCCAATTTGTGTTGGTGTTCAAAATGGTGAGTAGCGAGTGCTGTAGGATTTTGCTTGGGTTTTTGGCAATCATAGATATGTTGCTTTACTCTCTTGTCCAGATATTGGGATGTAAGACCGATGTAAGTTGCCGGACAGTTTAAACAGTTGATCTTGTAGATTACGTCAGATTTATTTGTTATTGGTGTGGGATCATTAATTTTGGAAAAAAGTGTTTGAATTGTTTTATAATTTTTGAAAGCTATTATGAAGTTATCGGACAAGAGAAATGTGTTTAATTTGTGTGATAGGCCTTGGATAAATGGTATGGAAATGTATGCTGGTTTGTTTGTATTCGATAGATTTAATGTAGTATTATTAATAATAGTGGATGGTGTTAGTGTTGAGATGTAATTGTTGATTATTCTGTTGATTATGTGTTTAGGGTAGAGATTGTTATGGAGTATTTGTTTGTATATCTTTATGTTTTTGTGGTGGAAGGATTCATGGCTTAAGGTAATCATTCTGTGAAGTAACCCTTTGGACGTAAAGCTGAGGTAGCGATCTGTATTTCTTAGTTTTTGATACCAATCTGTGATTAATGTGCACACACAATTAATTACACATAAGACAAACACTTTGAGTGAGTAGAAATACTTTGATTGAATATATAAAATATATTTTGCATTGTATAAATTCACTTTTCCACATCCAAAATGTAATTGTAATATGTAAACAATGTTTGTAAATCCCAGGTCCTGAAGATGATCTCAATAAAGATCGAAACGTTGGCATGATAAATAAAATGTTTTTCTGAAACCTACATCACATCAGACCGCATCTCACGATTTATAAATAAATAATTTTTTATGAAATACCTTTGAAACCTTTTCAAGACCTCATAGCGATTTTAGCCCCAAATTTGAGCTGCATAACAAATTACGGATCGCAACACACTATTAATAAATCAATGATTTTGGAATGATATCACTTGATAGTTTCGCCCTGGTGCCTATGTAACTAATTGCGTCTCGCGCTGCAAACAAATCCCAAATATAGTGAACCATCAGAATATTAATCTCAAGCTTAAACAATACTGCCTGGACAATTTACGTGGTATATTCAGGCTTTCGGCTTGTTATGGAAGCTCAGGAATATCCTTCATTTTACTACTAGCTTATTTATTCTAAAATCCCACCGAAACTGATACTTCCAAGATATCAAAGGCACTTAATTAGCTGGCTTCCCCCATGAAAATATGATTGTCACCTTGCTTCACTCCTCACCTACAGCTACCATTGCACAGTAGCCCACCTTAAATTTCATATGTACCGATGATACGGCAACCTTATCCACAAACATATCTGATTTTCAAGCCCATCAATATTCTAGAACTCTGGCTTCGGCAATGGAGAGACAAGGTAAACCATAAAAAATCCTACTTGACAGTTTGCACTCCTAATAGAAAAACTTACCCACCTGTTTATTTACACGGCATCATAGAGAATAGTGTGCACAAGTACTTAGACTATTCTAAACAAAAGACAATCGTGGAATCAACACACACATGACTAAAACGAACTGATTGAAACCACAGATATAAAATGCGACGAAACTACTTGACAAAACGTCTGACATTACATAATGCGTCCCAAGTTGAACCTAGTTGATCTGAACTTTACGGGACAGCCAAGCGTTCCAATCTCAGCAAAATCCAATCTCTTTCATCCTAAATCATACAATAGTTGATATCATCCACTCCGTTCTAAATATACCAGGCGTCCCAAAATTGGCCTAGTCCTGCTACAGAGAAGACCCGGTTGGCTATGTAAAGTGCCGTAAAGTGAATTTCGATAGATGGTAAAAAGCGTAGGGCATCGAGCAGCTGACAAGTCTTCTGTCGAGGATTATTTAATATGACAGTACAATATGCCATCTTAGCAAATCCCATTTCATTAAATTCATATATTTTAACAGACATAAACTTTTTTAGGGCCTGAGTATTGGGGGAGGATCAACCCCGAATGGAGTCTCTGCAACAAGGGCCGGAGGCAATCACCGATCAACGTGGAACCGCATAAACTCCTGTTTGATCCCTATTTAAGGCATATAGATGTTGACAAATATAAAGTGAGTATATACACATATATATTTAACCCTGTGAACACTCAAATATGCAATCTTTTGCTTTAGGTCAGTGGGACACTACTAAATACGGGCCAGTCGTTAGTGTTCAGGGTGGACAAAGATACAAAACACCATATAAACATAACCGGAGGTCCGCTAGCTTATCGCTACCAATTCGAAGAGTTTTACATCCACTACGGAATTGTAAACCAGCACGGCTCTGAGCACAAGATTCACGGCTACTCTTTTCCAGGAGAGGTAAGTCATATTTGTACTTAATGGAGAGTCATTTACAGTTCGTGATCCGATTGACCAATTAACTTCAATTAATTAATATTTATGAAAGGTCTTGGTCGAGATAAAAAAAAAGTCAGTGGCCATTTCATTTGTCGCCGAGAAGCAAATAGATTACACGGCGTTTGAAAAATGGCAAAAAGGAGGGAAAATTCGAGAGGAGTGGTTGAGGTGGGAAGTTAGTGTCGGAGCGGATTGAAGTCACGATAGCTCAAGTGGTAGAGCAGGGGCGTATTTAGCCGAAGATCGTGGGTTCGAATCCCGCTCGTGGCACTGACTTTTTTATCCGACCAATACCTTTCATAAATATTAATTAATGGAGAGTATATTTTGCGGGGGGGGGTTGAAAGCATGAACCATGTAAGCAATTACATACTGGTTTTGAAAGACCTTAATTTGTGAACTATAGGCAACCCTGTATCTGACAGGCGTAGAGGAGGTTCAAAGGTGTTGACTGTTTCAGAAGAGGACTTGTTGGAATCAACCTCAAAGTTTTTCGACTAATACTGGTTTCGTCCCTTCAAATCAACTTACTATTAAGATGACTAGGAATCTAGGTTGCGATGTGAATAATGGGAAGTCCTTTGAAGCTTGAGCTCGATTGAGGTAGGATCGGTGGATAACTACTGTCTAAAAGGAAAGATATTCCTGAGCTACCAAAACAAGGCAGCTCCAGGACTTCATATTTCTTTTATGGGTGAACATTAGAATTTTTGATATAAATGGGTTGATCTTCAACATCTTGTCATTACACTAATTTGGTTAAGCAGTTAGTGCAGTTTTTGCAGACTGACACGTGCTCTTAGAGATAAATGGGTCCTCGAATTGCGCAATGGTTAACAATTTGTGATTTTGGGCAATTTACGGCAAAAATTAGATTTAAGAGATTGTATGGGCCACTAGCTTAGCAGACACGCTTTGATCTCTTTTAAACAAGGTTGGTATTGCTATATCTTGAGTGAAAAACTTCTGTTTGAATGATGACACTAGAAGCCATTAGACTGTTTGATTGCAAGTAGGTGAACGCATGTAGATAATGTCACTTCGGCTTTGACTGGGTCCGTCTATACTCAGTCTTCCTCAGTGGAGAAACTCACATGCTATTCCCATACTTTTCCCTCTGCTATGTTGCCAGTTCAATCTGTCACAGGGCAATGGACTTCTGCTGTACAACGTGGTGGTCAGGCCGATGCACGTCATATAGTGATAACAAAACCCGCGAGCGCGTATCCATTGCCGCTTCAAAAAACCTGTGCCGTTTCACTCATTTCAATTTGTAAAATAGTAAATCCACGCCTGGAAGGTTTTCTCTACGTCTAGAAACGCTCCCAAGAGGGAGGACAAAATGTTATGCTGCATTTTTCCTGGAAGAACTTGCAACTTCCATTACTTTATTATTGAAGACTCTCGTCTTTTATGTACTCACTACTTTTTTAAGTAAAACATACTCAATCCACTACCTACTACAAGATAAATAATTGTGTAAGTTTTTTAAGATGTAAATTGGAAGGGAAGGTCCAAGCACGATCTAAATATCGCTACCCCTACAAAGTTCTTGTAAATTCTTGAGCTAACTTTGGGAAATTATTTTGTTTATTTCTTACATTTTTTATCACCATGTATACCACGAACTGGAGGAGTCTCCCTGAGAACTGCAGCTGTAAAACTTACGGCACTCCTTCCTGGTAACCTTTTGTAAGCTCACAAGAACACGTGTGTAAATTGAGTAAATTTGAGGAAAGTAGCAGAGAGGACTTGAGGAGTAGGGTTAGGATAAGTTGAAAGATTGGAGTGAAACTGAGGAAGTGGGAACGGAAAAATTCTTGGACATATTAAGGTCATTTTGGGTAGTGAAGTTGCATACATAGTAAGGAGGTTGGAGAATTCTTTTGAGTACTTTTGACTAGAATACTTGGATTTGTTGGACGTTGGCTTGATGAGGCTCCACCGCTCTGTTCCATATGTCCAAATTGGTCGAAGTAATGTTTTCTACAATGTAAAAGTAAAGACATACGGTAAAAGGTTAGGGTTTGATGCCTAGAAAGAAAGTACATACTCTCCTGAAAAGTATGCGTATCAAAATTAAAAACTATCGTATAGGAGTGAAGTTAGATGGAATAATGGGAGAAAAATCAGTTCATAAGAAAAACGGGCTCTATCCCTTAAGTTAATACAAAAATAGATTAGAGTTGAAACTGATGTTATATTGGATCTACTTGAGGTCATTTTACAGGTGAATAAAGAACATCACTATTGGGTTTCACCAAGCTTTCGGCGAATGTTCCGCCATCTTCAGGGCCTAATTTATTAAAAACAAAATTTACATGAACAGAGTTACATAACACATCTTATATAAATACATTACAAAATTCAATTACGTACTTAACCCAGTTGTTAGGAAAATTAAATTTATTGCACATGTTTGTTGTTTTTTTGAAGTGAAGGTGAAAATTAATCTATATACTAAAAACAAAAACAGTCTTGATTAAAGTCTAGTGACACTCATCCGTCCATCCTTTGGTTTCATTTTTTTTTCATAAGTTAATACTCAATCTCAGGTACATGTATTTTTTTATCATATAAATATATATACAACTTTTTAACTGTTATTTTAACTTAAAATTATAATTTAACTAGCTACAACTATGTACAAGGATTCGAAGAATTTGAGACACACATCGGACGGTTATAACACGGTAAGGGACCCATCCCTGTTATCAATCCCGGTGTGATTAGACACACCAACGTCACTTTGAACTTTATTTCGATTCATGAATAGTCGCAGGATTCCCGAATGTGCCATGGAGCCCAGTCGATCCATTTGTAAATTACAAGTGTTTTCCGTTACATGAACAAAGACTTTTTCGTAAAGTAGTCGTCTCTCCAGGTCCTACTCTCTGCCCAGGATCCCAGGGGAGTCCAACCTGAAGAAATGACCACTTTCCGTCACATGTGTTGCCAATCCTGTGGTTTTCTTTCTATTTATACAGTCCAGTCTATGTTGGTTCATTCTTATTTCTACTTTTTGTTTTGTTTGCCCAACATATTGGATATGGCAACCCGCACATGACACCTTGTAAATCACACTCGACTGTGAGCTTATTGGCTCTTTCGCCTTTAGGTTTGAATGCAAACATCTAAGGTTATTTTTAAATTTATACGTGACACCAATTTCCCCCATCTTATCTTTAAACAATTTCTTGATTCTCGGGATACATTAGGAACATATGTGATTGATCTAAATGAAATTGGTGTATCACTACCCTCCATTCATTTCATAAATTCATTTATGAGCCTATTTGCCAGTGCCACCGGGTAGTGGTTTGTTTTCAGCATTTTGTGGACCTTGGTTACATTTTGTTCCAGATATTTTGAGTCGCTCAAGCCCTAAGCTCGGTTTATCAAATTTCTGGCACAGTTCACCTTTAGAGAGAAAGAATGGGAAGAGTTAAAATCCAGGAACCTATCATTGCTAGTGGGCTTTCTGTACCAGTTGGTCGTTAATCTGTAATCGTTTCTTTCAATGACCAAATCCAAGTATGGAAGTTTACCATTGTTCTCCTCCTCCACTGTAAACTTTAGAGCTCCATGGTAGGAGTTTAACAGTCTAAGCATTTCTTGAACATAAACTCTTGGTATAATGCTGAAAGGTCATCGACATATTTTAATAATAATTTAATTTCAAACGGCAATTGTAACAGAACCCACTCTAAAAGGTCGGTCATAACCAGGTCGGCCAGGACAGGAGACAACACACGACCCATGGCTACACCATCCTTTTGTTTGTAAATCTCATCGTCAAATCTAAAGTATCCATTCATTGCTGTAAATTCCAAAGTTTCTATAAATAGTTCTATGGACAGGTCCGGATAGTGCTCCATGATCTCAATCCATCTCTTTTGAACCATGTAACTTGCCAATCCCAATGGCACTGACGTAAACAATGATTTTACATCAAAAGAGACTATAATTTCATCATCATTCATGACCAGATTGTGAATTCTTTCTCTAACTTGATACGAGTTTTTAACATTAAACTTATTGTTAACAGTATGTACAGAGAGAACATCATGTACCCATTTAGACAGTTTACAGTTTGTAGATTGCACACACGAGACTATAGGGCGTAGAGGCACATTAGGTTTATGGATCTTGGGAAGTCCATATATCTTCGGGGGGATGGCTGTGTAGGTTTTTAGGCTAGACCCTTTAGTCTTTGACATAAGATCTGCATTTACTAGTTTATCTATCAATTTGTTGTTGGTAGTTTGAAGTTTGGGAGTGGGGTCATTCACTATAACTTCATATTTGTTTTTTATCATCCATTATTTCCCTCATTTTCTGTCTATATTGTTCCCTTGCCATTAACACGTTTGCATATACTTTATCCGCCCTGGTTAAGATTATTTCTGGATGTTCCCTAAAAAAATTTTTACTTTTCTGAAGTTCTACTTCTATTTGGGTCTGTTTTTTGTTCTTAAGTTGGGCTAAAGAGTTTCGAACAATATTTACAACATCCGCTCTGGTGGCATATTTTATTTCTTTTTTCTTTTTTTTTTTATTTTATTTTAAAGGCATAAAACCACTAAGGGTCATAGCTGCCTTAAAGCATCAACCAATGCAGCCTCCCCACCGCACGAACCAGACCCCTCTGGTCACGGCCCCAGGAAGGAGGAGGCCCGGAGGGCCAGCCGCATTGCAGATGGACGAGCACTATATAAACAGCGTGATGTTATCGCTGAAGCTGAACTAATGTTGTTTCGGCTCCTCCAGAAGGATGTGCATGGGCTGTGAACATCCACATCCTTCAAGAGCCGGGGTATTCTTTTTCACCCATACGCAAAGCGCTCGAACCTCCGCCGCGCCCGACCCCCGGCAGCCACCCGCAGGGAACAAGGCCCCCCGCCCACACAAATGGCAAAGGCCACACTAATTTATATCCTGTTCATTAATTCAGCAGTCTT